ACTATTTAGTATTTACATTGGATCCAATAATTGGCTGATTTTTGAGTTTAAAGATGAGGGCACCTCATTCTGATTTTGACCAACATCAGCACTCACAACAGAAGCCATAGCACAGACACTTGCATCTGGGTAAGGTAAAACATTGCACTGCTCTGCTACATTCATCACTTTCACTGATGAGCTTGATCTTGATTCCTCACAGCTGGACTCTAGATGATCTGGAGCAACTCCATGGTTAAGGAGATTCTGTTGTAGGGCTGGGCTGGAACAATTCTTTCCTTCTTGTAGATTTTTCTTCAGGGTTGAGAGGTGTACATCCGTAGTCTCCTGGGAAAGCGAACATGAGGGTTGAGTGGCATCACTGTACTCTGCAGCAATAGATGATTGCAGCTTCTCGAAGAAGTCAGAGTGGGAAAGCCCCCTCCACAGTCTTCTCCTTGCAGCTGGCTGTTCATGCGATATGATGTAGACTGTTGCCTTTGTACTTTGTTGAAAATGTACAATATTCTTCACAAAGTGTTCTATTTCTATACAGTCACGAACACATCCCATTGCCGAACAGATGAGGGTCTTCAGATTTTTGTTTTTAAAATCTTCCTTTAGTTGTTCAAAGGCCTCATCATATTCTTGACTTGATGGTTTCCCATTATAATCATTTTTGGTAACTAGACTGTAGATATTGGCGCCGCTCTCCACAACTTGCAAGGTTAATCTTGTATTAATGTAGTCTGTTTTTTTAGGTCTCCCAAACTTATTTTTGAAAGCTACAGCTACACCAGCCGACATATTTCTGTTGCAGTGAAGATCGCCTGAAATGGTGTGGGCAAATGCCACCGTTGAGTCATTTTCAAATTTACTGAACATATTCCCCATGCTGGTTTTCATGACATTGATGTTGAGTGGCCTTATATGTGTAACAGTTGGTGGTTTCTCACTGGGTGTTGGATTAAGTACATCTCTAATCATGCAAGCTATCTTTTTTTTCCCAGACCTATTAAAATGAAGGCCATGCCTAGTATAATGATCACGGGATAACTCATTTATTGGCAAGAAGGCTGCATGATTGAATTTGTCTACTAAATTTTTAATGTCCATGTTGAGGTAGCTTATTCGATTATTTACAGCAGGATTATGGTGTCTGTAAGGTAGACCTGCAACAATTATTTTTGTGTGCGAAGTTTGATTAAGAACTTTCTCAATCATAGCTTGATGTTTTTTTTCAGCCTGACTTATCTCGTCATTAGATCCACCAAGCATAATCAAAGTATCAGACTTGGTAAAGTGCTTCGTTAGTCCTTTGATATCCCTGACAACTTCTGAAAGGATGGCATTTGGTTTAAAAATGCAGCTGATATTTAAATCACTTTTGGGCCAGACACTGTTAAGTTCAGAAACTACATGCCTTCCATGGCTGTCTGCTACAATTAGAATTTTATTTCTATTGTCCGGGGGACTAGACAAAGGTGTAATTGGGGATTTTAAAGACGAGGGAACAAACACTTTTACACCGGCTTCTTTCTTTCTGTGTGAAGATGTCAATTGTGTCTTCAAATTAATGTTTTCCTGTTCAAGATCCTGCATCTGTTTATTAAGAGATGCGAGGTTCCCTTTAACTTTGATCTCCCTCATCATTGACAGCAAGGTATTCTTTTCCGTTGTCAATTGATTATTCAGGACGTATGCAATATATGATCGTTTTCTAATAAGATCAGTTTCAGAAATTTGCAATTTACCAAGGGTTTCAGTGTCCAGGTCAGAGCTGTGCTCCACAATATCTAGGATCAAGCTTTCAATCGCTATAATTGAATATATGCCACAGTCATAGTTGTTTAACTGAATTGGAAACGGAATGTGAGTAAAGTCCAAACACTCAAGCTCAAGATATTCATTGAGTTTGTCAGCTACAGTCTTTGCATGTTTAATAACAGGATTTACAGAAGAATCAATGTAGAAGGCACACTTTTTGATCCTATCAATCACAAGGACACTCCAATGAGTGCCGCCAGCCTTGTCAAGAGATGTAGCATCATTAATTCGAATAATAAGGTAATTATATTTCTTGAGATTGTGCCCTTCCAGAAAATGTTTATAGTCATCCAAATTTTTTACTATGTGAGCAAGTAGAGGATTCAGTATATGACAAGATACACTGGAAAGCCAAAGTTTTGTGTCTAAAATTTGGAAATATTTTTGTAGTGTGTCATCAGAAAGCCAGCTTCTAGACAGTAACTCACAACATGATGCTATTACAACAGATGATGTATCAGTTTGAGTTGAACATGAACTGGGAACATTGCCAACTCTCGGAGAATTAACACCCACCTCCTGCAGTAATGAATGAGTATCACTTGCTCTAATTGGAGTTGTTATTGTAGAGTCATCTAGAGTAGAATCTGTACTATCCTGGTCAATACTGGTTGCGGAATCACTTGCAGAAGGACTATTTGTTCTTGTGGTCTTCTTAGTTGTGAAATTGAAATCTTCTATATTATATGGAAGTTTTTTATCTTCAATATAGGCCATGAGGGATTTTTTTGAACGAAAAATCCTGCCTTTTGGGGATTTAATACTAATATCTATTTTGCCAACACTTAAACCTTTCTGTCTTGCATGTTCCTCTCTTATCCATCCTTTAGGCAATGGCATTTTAAAGCGTCTTTAATTAAAGCACAGTTTAAGAAATACAATATGGGTCCAAAATATTTGACATTTAGTGGGTTTAAGTAAAAAAGTATTTAACAACTCATGAATCTCGTAAAAATATAACTATATAATTTCAACGATGTAAGGTAGTTCTTGTTATATAGTATAAGCCAGACATCCGATACAGAGCTACATGGAAACTAAAAGTGCAGAGATTTTACTCCATGCATAACACAGCAAAAGATGACCTGTCAGTTTGTCAAGTTGTGTTTAAACATGAAATAATGTCAGCAAATATTAAAAGTTCAAAATATTGAAATTTTTATGAAAGGATTACATTAAAAATACTTCAATTATTTTTATAGTCTATTCTACACTTCACTCACGGTAAGTTGAAGGTTATGTTGTACTACTTTACCTAGGCCCAGTACTTGAAAAACTAATGATTTTAAGTCAATTATGGGCACCACAAATTAACCAACTTCACTTCTTAACAGGCACTTTTTTTTCCATTCTGTGTGGAAATAAGCAAGAGGTATTTTTCCTAATCTATTTGTATAGCTGTCACAACAGAATAGGTCAACTCAAAGCAGTCGCCGGCAACTGACTGGCAATGGGCAATGGTATACTGACTTGACACAGAATGGAATGACATGATCGGTAGTGATTTTGTTTTAAAGTACTGTTTCGCAATAGAAAATTCCACTACTGAACTGTTACGTAAGCAATAAATAAATTTATGTTTAAAAAAGTCAGAATAGAAACACAAAAAAAGGCAAAGCAATAGAAGGGAGGGGGGGTTGTGCAATGACCTCGAAATGAGCGGCATAGCAACAGTGAGTGGAGTAGGTGGTTGGGGGGGGGGGGGGAAGGGAATGGTGAGACCTTTAAGCTATATTTAGACTAGACTTTCACCACTTCCCAAATGGCCGGTAGGGGAATTACAATAGCAGGTTTTTTCCTTGTCTGGTTTGACTTTTGTCTATTTTTCTAGGGATATAAAATATGAAAATATAAAATATGAACTCAGCCACTGAGTGGAATGGACCGAGTCAAACAGTTGGAGTGAACAGGACTGAATTTGAGGTTCGAGCCATACATTCAGCGCTATTTATAACGCTTCTTGCTTCTGTATTTTCATATTCAAATTAACTGTATTAACTGTATGAATTAAATAAAATAATCTTGTAACTTGTAACTGTCATTAATGTTACTTAATAATGTTATTAATAATCAACCTCAGATAAGGGAAGGGTGGTTTTAAGGTAGTGTACTAATTTTGTTGAGTCCAAATAAACCATTTATTTTATCTAGTCTTTATTTAGCTTGCCTTCTGTCTTGTGCCTGAAGATCGTGGAGCAATTATTGCTGTCAATGTTTGCATTGCACCACTTTATCAGCTGACAAGAGTGATGACAATTTAACCAACTAGCACTAAAACAATCATCCTACAGCCTACTATTAATAATATTTCATGATAAATATGCCCTTTCAAATAGCCTTAAGTTAAAAAGTCATCATGATTGATAATTTGAATTCTGTAAATGAGTAAATAAAAATATAACCAATTAACTTGGTACTGAAGGTATATGTACCGACATTTCACCATCGATTCTCGAACCCGGTACTTTTCCCGCGTACCGTTGAAACCAACATTTGACTTGAGTACCGACCCATCACTAATATATACATGTGAAAATGTAATTGACACGATTATCCAGAGATGGGTTCCAATCAAGGATTTGGTAATGGTATAGGTTGAGAATCAGAAGTAAAAAAAAACTTTAGTATTTTACTCTGGACTAACTATTGAAGTGAGGAAACTTCAAGACCGGGAGTGCTCTGAACCAACTGTTGAAGTGAGGACACTTTAAGACCGGGAGTATGTTCAGTTCTTTTAGTCTGTATATAAATAAACTGAACAATAGATCATTTTTGTTAAACAATTTATAATTTTGTAAAAATAAATATTTTTCCTTACTGTTTCTTCTTGTTAACGAGGCTTATTCTTTTTCTATCCTTATTTATCTTATTTTAATTAATTAACTTATTACACATTAACACTCTACGGATGTTACGTAGTATTACAAGTTACTTGAAATCATCAACACATAGAAATTAAATAACAAAAGAAATAGCAGACAGCATAACCTCATATATGAAAATAGATTCTGCTAGTCTTTTTAATTTGATGATAATTTTTTTTAAGGATCAAAAATGATATTTGAAGAGTAAATTTAGTATGCATTTGTTTTCATTTAAATAGAATTTAAAATTTTGCAACCACACAAAAGTAGTTTGTTAGTAGCAATGATAATTCTTCGAAAATGTGGGCCTACATTAAAGGTCTAACTTACCTTTTCAGATTTGACTCCTGAAAATAAATTTTTACTGTTCCTTTTGACGACTGAGGGTTTATGGACGGGGGCTGGGCTGTTGCTGGCTGCAGACTGAACCTCTACTTCATTGCTGCCTTTGGAAGACTCATTCTCCTCTTCCACTTCTTCTGTTGTTTCTTCTAACGACTCACTGTCGTCTTGCTCCTGAATGGCACAACCCTTCCTTGCTCGATATCTGAAATAATTATAAGTTGGATAACACCACATGGGCTAAACAAATTTTCAAAATAATAACATTATTTTTGTTCAATGGAAAGGGTGATTTTAAAAAAACCTAAATTTTAAAACAATATTTTTACTTAAAGAAACATAATACAGTAGAACCTCGATAACAAGACTCTCAAGGGGATTATTAAATAATACTTGTTATCAAGGTTGACTTCTTCTTCTTGTTGAGGTTTGCTGTAACATGTGGTTAGAAGTAGGGATGGTCAAGTCTCGAAATTTCGGGAAATTTTCAATCTCGTTACACGAGACGAGATTACTTTTTGGCCGAGATTTTTATCGAGACAAGAATAAAAAAAAAAAAAATTAAAAACGCCTGCAGAAAGTCAATGCAATACCCGCAATACAGGAGCGTGTTGTAGTTGCGTTTCCTTTTCGAAGGCGTTCTTATTTAATTAATTCTTTTAATGTAAATATTACTTTAATTCTTTTAATGTAAATATTACTTTCATTATTTTAATAATATTACTTTAATAACATTTGAGAAGTTTTGTTAAGTGTAAGCAGTGTGAGGAATGTTTTATTACTATAAACAAAAGTCAAAACAAGTAACTATTTTATAAAAATTAATATTGCTTTTATTTTATGATTTATTTTATTTTAGGATAAGTTGAACTCTATCCTAACTGATATCACCATGTTTCTTAATCATAGGCATTTTTAATAAGTTAGGCGTGATTAATAAAAAAATGTTATGCTGATGTTATTTAATGAAAGATTGTAAATATTCTTGCCTATTATCATAATTTTAGTATTTAAACAGTCATCTAACAATGTTACAAAATAAGTAAAAATTTCGAACGTGCATTTCTCGTTGTGTATGAGAAGAGAAATCTCGTCTCGATCTCGTCTTGAAATTTTATGAGAAACAAAAAATCTCGTCTCGTCTTGTCTCGAACTAAAAATCCAATCTCGTCCATCCCTAGTTAGAAGTAAAATAATTACAAGGGGATTTGAAAATTGCACTTGTTATTAAGGGTGGCTTGTTATCGAGGGTCTTCTTATCAAGGTTCCACTGTATAAACTTATTATATGTGATTAAAAAAGATAATTATAAAACGTTTTTATTTCGAAACAGCCAATTTCCCAACACCTCCAGTTAGTCTAACCCAGTTACAGAAGCATCTTCATAGAAAAAACGGACCAAAACATGGACCATATTGGCAGAGATGGCCCAAAAACGTTTCCTTTAGCCTTATGTGTCACATGTATGTTCAACTATTTTCTGTGGATTCTCAGTGCCCCATATAGGCCCCATGCACTTTATGGCGATTGAGCTTTCACAATAATAAACAATTAGTCTCTCTCTATTGAGAGTGTGGAATGAGGTTCAGTATCAGGTTGGTATGATTGGTAGGAAAGATAGGAAGAGATGTAAAGATCAGGTTTCAAGTTGGACAAGACAGAAAGGCAAATACCTTGACTTTGCAGCATCATCCATATGATTCCACATGTTTTGTAAATGCTTCTGGATCTCTTTTTCACTTAAATCGGGATGCTCGTCAGAAAGTTTTTCAAAATTTCTTGAACAAAAATTTTGGAAGTCAGCATCTACTACCTTTTTAACATACTTCCTTTTTGGCTTTTTCTTCTCTATTGGTGTTGATTCAGCGTACAAAGGCCTATGGCAATCATAATAATATGTAAAAAATAAAAAAAAGATGCAAAAGTTTATTGGAAGGGTAAAGACAGTAAAATAAAATATTATCATGAAATACTACAGTAGAACGTCAATAATTCAAGTGTTAAATGTTTGGGTTGTTAATAATCTGGATTGTCTGGCCTTGCACTAAGTTTTGACTTTAGAGTGGGCGATGGCAGAATGGTGTGTAGCAGAGAGAAGGGTAAAGTTAAGGCCATTGTCAAGGTCACACAGTCAACTCTATACCTCCCACATAGCAACCGTCCTGCCATCCGCCAGTTGTATGAGTCCACTGACCCTGAGTGTGCATTACTGTAATTGATTGTGGCAGCAGACACTGATGACATACATGGCTGGAGAAACAAAACAAGAGCTCACCCCCCCCCCCCCCCCCACCACCCCCAGTTGATTCTTATCAAACGAATTAAGGACTTAGCTGCCAAAAAAAAAATAACCACTACCACAGTTTAAAAGCCTATCAAACATTAAAAAAAGCTCAAATCATTAGTGTCTGATGTATTTGCTTGTACACTCAGGGTGGCCAGCGTCCTACTGAGGTAAAATTCAAGGACAATTTAAGGTTTTCCAGGATCAAAATTCAAAATTTCCTGAACAAAATAAGGAAAATAAGCAAAACTTAAATTTTATTACATTAAAACCCCTTCACAGCAAATTCCGTGATAATTTCTTACGACTGCAGCCACATCAGTAATCAAATTTTTTTATCATGGCAACATTCCTTATGATTGCTCACGATAGCGGTAATAACTGTGATGATTTTTCACCATCGCGGCAATGCCAATAATTTCCCAAACAAATTTTTTGTTTAGTTTCAACACAAAACGGTTTCCTGAGTGATTTCAGAAATGTAGGTTCAAAAGGCAGTTTCTTTGTGTGTTACTATCGAATAACTTGTCATATATGAAATACAACTACCTATTAAAAAGAGCAATTTATAAATGTTAACTTAAAATATAGTTAAAAAAAATAGTTCAAGCTATTCCAAATGAAATATTGGATAGTTAAAAAAAATAAAGCCTAATTCAGTCTTTCCACAAGAATAAAACAATTATTAAATAGGTACTGCTCAACCGGTTAAGAAAATGCTGTTATATCCCTCCAAGTGTCCATAGTTTAGGCCTTAATGTCCACCTATTTTTGGCGCATTTGCAAGGTTTTATTAAAACGGATCTGAGAAGCTTAAAACAATGTTAATTCTAATGTTCTATATACCATTTTGTTTGGAAAATCATGGGCTTCAATATTATATATAAAACATAAGGAACATTTAAAAAAAAAAATTTTAGGTAAAAAAAATATAATTTCGAAAATTTTCAAAAAAAAAATAAGTTTGCGCTCAATGAAATTGTATAAATTATAGGCCTATAAATATTTGAAAATAGCCACTTTGTTCTAAATTTTATGAGGATTACAAATATATAATAATATAAGGAAGTATATTTGCAAATAAATAAGTTATGGGCAAAAAACTGATTTCAGTACATAGCGTTTAGCTAAGAATGCATAGCCTAACCATAGCTAGGAATCTGGCTGATAATTTACATCAATATCACTACCTACTTCTTCAGGATCATCAACCAGCACTTCAAAACCACTTAAATCGTCTTATAATGCACCACGTATATCACTACTTTTGATTTTTAACACTAAAACAATGATAAACGTAATAAAACACATCAGTCATCGGTCCGGGGGAACCTAGCTGTTTACAAATACACGCACGTCAGCTGTCTGCTACAATATTTTCGGAACTAAAATGAATAGCGCTTAGAGACAGACCTCTGGAGAAAGCTTAGAATATTACGGAAAGAACGATACCTAACTCGATCCAGTTCAATCCGATTCAGTCAGTCATAGAGCCTTCGCCGTAAACGATGTCTGCGTGTCGAAAAATCGACAAGTAACACTACACAAAGTGTGCTGCTTGTCGAATTTTCGTCAAGTAACACTGGGAGGGTTAATCCTCCCGCATAATATCATAAAAAATACTCGATTAGGCCTATTCTGTTTCATCTTATTACATATGTACTAATAAACTATTGTTTTTTTCCAAGAACCTAAAAAAATCAGGGGACAGAGTCCTAAATTCTGTAATATTGCACATTCCATTTCAATCCCGTGCTCGGTTTAAAACTTCAGTTTTTGGGATTAAAGTCCCCATAGTCGTCATATGGAACACACTCATCTCCATTCATACTTGGCTTAAAATACCTACTTTGTATGGTCGCGATTTTTATGAAAAGTAAAAGAAGTAAAAAAAGTATGCAGGGGTAGACCAAACTTAATGATTTTTCAAAACACATGCAGTCCTCGGGAGGCCTTAGCGGACATCAGCATCTGACCACGATAAACTACGCAATTGTTTCTGTTTACGTGGAACTTGTTATAATAATTATGTTCAGACAGTATTCTCTTCTTGTTCGTTTGATCTTTAACTGTTTTTAAATATGAAATATTTGTAATTTGGAAAATAAAATGGTATTAGTTAAACCATTATTTATTATTTTGAAAATTCATGGTTCAATGGAGAAATTCATGAATATTCAGTGCCTTTTTCGTGTTCACAAGAATTCACGCATAATTCAAGCTTTTCAAGGTTTACATGGTTGGTGGAAAGTATGAAATTGCAATAATGTTGTAAACGTTTCATACGATCGCAGCAAAATCATTTCTAGCACGGCAACACACTCTGTTTTCGTGACAGTTTTCCTCAAATTTCAACTCCACAAAAGAACAAAAATCTGTAATTTTAGGTGGATTTTAAAAATATTATTCAAACATTTAAATTTCCCGGTCCTTAAAAAAATGTACATATAATTGCGGATTTTTTCCCGGTTATCCAAATTCACGTACTATTCCCGGTTTTCAGGAGACTGGACTGGACACCCTAATACGATACAGTGCTTGAAAACAAAGATGTTTTGAATTCATCGATCTTTTAGATCCTTTATTGAACTTGTAATAGAAAATATACTACAATTTGAAAAAATGTTACTCAAATAGTGTATGCTGGCCTCTTTTAAGGTAATTTCGATAATGCGGAGTGGGACCTGTCCAAATAGATCCGAACTATTAACGTTCTCTACTATATAGACACTAGGCACAAAACTATTCCAAAATGTAAAAAAAACCCTAGGAATCACTGTGGTATCACACCTCTTGGACGTGGACTTATCCTCGGTCACAGGTGTGGTCTGCTCAATAGTAACCTCATTGGCTGCTACATCGGCCGCTGCCATCTGGTTACTCCGAGCCATCTGCATCAGCAGAGCTTGCCGCTTTTTACGGTCTGCAATCGTACGTGGAGTTGATGACAACAATGCGTTACAGTCATCTTTCGGCTCTTGTTTCGCTTTTACCTCCTCCTGCAATAAATATTTCCCAATAGTTAACCTGATAGATACAAAATAACAAGTAAAACAGAAATTGCTGTATTTTGGCGGATCTCACAACTACCTATAGTTCTTCCCCATTAGTTGAAAGGTATAGAACACAAAATTACTTTTGAAAAATCTTATACTAAACAAACTTTATTCTCAATCCGAATTAAAAAAAATTCTTAATCTATTTTTATAATTTTTGGCAGACAAATTATTAAGAAAGTTAATTGTATTCTAAATATCAAATTGATGTTGATGTATTAGGTAACAGTTTGTTCCGTGATTATGAAAAGCCCACGCTAACAAATCTTAACCCCCGTATCTTACTGAGTTACCAACTATACATTTTATACTTCCACAACAACCGCCAAACTGTGTTCACATATGATTATAAGGAAATTTAAATATCTGAAGCAAATTGAGATTGAGTCATGTTGTTTATGGCGGGTCGTGCCATTGGTTTACTAGTATTTTATGACATCTGCAAAAATTAAAACCAAGATACCAATGTTACCTACCAAACTATCATATTATTAAAGTGATACAATCAAATTTTACGTAAACGGTTAAGGCCATTAAACCAAATAAAAATATAGCCATAAGGCACTTCAAAATTATGCTTAAGAGTGTGTAGATTTGCCAACAAGTATTGATATGGAGGAATGTCCTAAGGGCTCATGTAAGATGTAAGATGTAAGATGTAAGGCTCTGCCCCCCAGGCTGATTTCCAAAGGGCTGCACCTGGCATGCTTCCAAAGTTTATATGATTTAATTTATCATCTGGTCAATGCAATAAACTGGTGTTTCTTTATTTACTTGAAAAATATGTATGTGATGATTCATGCAGATTGAGGAAATAATGTGCATTACTTAATAAGAGGGTTATGTTTGGTTTTAAAGAAAGATTGCATAGGTTACGTATTGTAATTTATAAAGTAGGCTACATGTAAAGAGGCTTGACTAAAATTGAACAATTATGGTAAAACATCTCATTCATAAAGCATCAATATGAAGCAATTGATGTTATTGCTACACTAAGGTATGTAGTCATATTCTTTTGAATCTATTAACATAAAAAAGTAGGGGTTTGAAAGTAAGTAGGTTAACAATTTTAAATCAGTTTATTTTTTCAAGTCTCTGTAGACAAACTCTTAGTTCAATAATCTGTACTCGTGTGAAATGGTAGGGATGCAAGTTTTCCTTTCTCAATAGCTGAGAAATACCTAAGTCACAAGAAACTGTCCTTGTTCTTGTCCGTGGATCGTCCTCAAACCAACCCAACACATCTGATACAGCTTCTTAAACACACACACACATCTTGTATCACGTTCCCAACATAACAATGTTTAGTGAGAAATTTACCATTCTCATGGAAACTCATATGGACACTGATGAATCTTCGTTCATTTGAAACTGAAAGTCACCTACTAGGAAACTGACGACTATATTCACTTCGGATTACAGCCGCATTTGAGAACAGAACCCGTCAAATAAAATCATATCATGATTCTTCGTTGGTGAACACCGACATAGCACTAAACAATTATAATATTTTCCAAGTATGTTCATGAAATAGTTAATAATTTGAATGTTTACAAGCCAACAATTGAAATCATCTAGTTTTGTAAACCAAGTTTAACACCCAGCTGATCAGATGTCAGCTGATTAAAAGATAGCAAAGAAATTAACAGATACTGTATTACATTTGGTTCAATGTTTTGATTCTGTAAACTCTGACCTTGACCTAATTTTTTGAACTTTTAATACAGCAATCACCTTATTGGTTACATCACTTTAAAGGGCATTAAATGTGAAAGTTTTTTTTATGTAATTTGAGAAAACATCACATTAGTTTTATAGTTGTAACACCACTTTGAATTTGTAAAGAAGGAATTTACAAACTTCTTTATTTATGTTATGTGAGACATAAACAGTGAAAATATGGTTGTATGTTAAAGGTGTTGCAATGGTTTTGTAGGAAATTTAACGCTCTTTTCATTGGTATAAGTTATCATGCTGTACCTGTATTGACTTAATTCCTATGCTAGTTTTAGTGAAGCTACAACAGGTAATTTAAAAAATTCACACAATCGGCCATTACAACCTAACGGGTGAGGTTGGAAAATATTTGTTTGGCATTTTTTGTTCCTTTTAGTGAGTACAGTAACTGGTTAAAGTTAACGCACTTAGTAGAAACTCACACTGTATATGGGGGCTATAAAAGTTTAAATACTAAATTTCTATTTAAATTCCAAAAATGGGCTGTACGAACAATTTTATCTCTGCCGAAACGCTGATCATGAAGAAAGTTCTTCTCAGAATCAAAAATCCTAACTCTTCCATCTATATAATTCTTGAAACTCTCACCTTAGTCAAACAAAATCTTCCTCTATTCACTGTTCCAGAAAACTTCTGCATCTGCCCCTATTCACTTTGAAATTCTCATAATTTGCCAATTCCTAAACATGCTACATCTTTCTTCAAAAAACATACTCTTTACAATGACATCCAACTGTATAATAGCCCCCTCCTTTATCTTAAATTAGAATCAGACTACTCAAAATTTAAAAGATGCATAAAAAGACAGTTAGTTAATATCTCCTGTTACAGCATCCAAGAGTTCTTGGACCACAGAAACTGGACTGCTGTAAACCCTGGCATATAGATAGTGACAGTTGAGTTTTGTAAATTATTGTTGTCTAGCCATAGTTTGTAAATACATAGTTTGTATATAGTTTTATAAGAATAAGGAAAACTTAAAAATTTTAATTTTAATACAGTACGTTTGTACCATGACTTAGCTAATGCAATATGTATTGTAAATTTTAGCTCAATAAAATTATTTGATGATTTGATTTGAAGAAGACAGACAATCACAGCTCGGAACCCCATCACAGGACCTGACAAACAACCAAAAAAACTCAAGTCTCAAACAAACCCGTCACAAAAACATAACCTAAACAATAGACAAACACTACAAACTCCACACAGTCGAGAGCACAAAAAACTCTTCTTTCGTGGGGCCCATACCCCATACAACCACAAAAAAAAAAAACCCGATAACCAAAACTACAGAACAAGGACTAAACATTTTTCACTTGAATATTCAAAGAGGCCTACAACAAAAAATCGATTAACTTCTTATAAAAAACAGGGACCTGAAACCTCATACACCTATCATCACCGAACATGGTACACAAAATGAAAAAACTTGAAATAACTCACATAGCAGGATAGGCCTACAATCTAATTTCAAATTTTTCAAGAAGATCTCATAGATTTGGTGGGGTAGCTATCTACACCATTGAAGTAATGCCACTGAATATGGAAAAAATAAACATGGAAACCTCCTACATAAATAAAATGAACATAGAATTGGCAGCAATAGAAATTAAGGAAAGAAAAAGAAACCTTTTAATCTTGGGACTTTACAGACCACCAAATGGAGACTTGCAAACTTTCTTCTCTAGCCTGCATCCTACTGCATACTCATTCAAGACCCCGCAAAAAGATCATCATCATGGGCGATTCAAACCTCAATGTAATGGACAAAGACAAAAATAACATCAAAGACAATACTGCTCTACTAAATAGTTTTGACCTGAGAATAGAAGAACTGTCCCATACCAGAATCACACACACTACAAAAATTAGTATAGACTGTTGCTACACAGATATAAACCCTGCTAATTCGTGATGGTCGGATCTGGATATCGGACTACCGGATCCAACCTAGAACCGGCACCTGATCAGATCCAAAAAATCCTTGATCTTGGGCTGGATCCGGTTTTGATAGATCCGATTTTTTCTGATTTTTTCTGATTTTTTTACTAACACAAAGCTGTCTGTATCCATGTACAAGACCGATTTTGTCCTGATTTTTTTTACTAACACATGTATCCATGTACGAGACTTATCTGTGACTGTGTACAAGAAGACTATCTATGTCTGTGTAGAAGAAGACTATCTGTGTACAAGAAGACTCCTCTAAAATAAGGAAATTTAAATCAGCAGCAAGTTGTATTATAAGCAAACTACTTAATGGGTTTTCTGGAAGTCTTTCAATTATTTCCTATGAGTACACTTTTTTACTTTTACTACCAAGATCCCGTATAAGGTCTCAAATAGAGCCTCTTACCACTTTTATTTTTCCTCTTGCACGCACATTTAGGATTTTTTTTAAACATTTTAAAATATTTGTGTAGAAATATGTGCATGATTTAGAAAGTCATTAAGCTGGAAAACTGCAATATACTGCAGACTTTTCACAGAATGTTACTTCAATGTATTCATTCATCTTAGTGAAAACATAATAAAGATATGTATACAAATAAGAACTTGAAGTCTTAGAGAGCCTTTGAATGTTATAAGATTAACGAAAAGAGTTGTGCATGTTTACTAGCGCTACTCAGCAACAAAAACCATTTAATTTATCTCTAAAAAATATCCTATATATAATACGAGTAAAGTTTGAATAATTGTCAACTCGATCTGGGAATCGGCCCTAACAAAAACGTTTATATTTACGGAATAACTAAGTTCTGTGTCAAAAATAAGTTCTAGACCAGCGGTATAGCCAGGAAAAATCTAATTTCGCCATAATATGAGTACAAACTTTTGAAAATTTAACATGGGCCTCATGAGAAAACATTCCGCCATTATTGTCATTTTGTTTACATTTTAAGACATAACGTGACGTTCTGTACCCACGGGCACCTCAGCTTGCGCATGCGCAGAAAGCTCTTGAAGCACTTTCTGAGGTCCAGGTGACTGTTACTTCTGAATCTGATGTGTATTGATTCAATATTCAATGATTGGCTTCTGACATACAATTTTGTCAACTTGTGACAGGGAGAAAGAGAACGACTCGGCTTTGCTCCAGTTCATTAAATAAATAGTTTGATGTATAAGAATTTGTATTATATTATAAAACTTTAGAGAGTAATGAGTTGCTAATCCATGAAAAAAACTATTCTTATATTAGC